GTGTGAGTTAAATTAATCATGAGTAAACATCATACAGTGCAATAAATAAAATGTTGCTAAAACCTGAAAACAATATCAGTAAATAAATAATTATACAGCCATAAACTAAAACAAAACCAAAACTAGGATTTGAGGATACTAGTTACATTTCAAGTCTGGAGAATCTTTAGTCAGACCAAAAAACAAAAAAAAGGTTTGTGATTTGTAATGTAATTAAGATACAGGATCAACTATAAAACCGCTTTAAAATTAAAATGTAAAAATCAATAAAATTCTGTTCATAAATCAAAATTTACTTCGAGACATTTTAAGATTGTAGTTTACAGTCAACAAATACAACATTTTGAGATCATATTTTGTTCTTATTGTGATGCATGTCGGAGTGAAACAGCTTATTTTAACAAGAAAAATGCAGGTCAGGAATACATTTTTTATGAAAAGCTGGATAATTGTTTGCTATTGCTGTGATCTCATGTGACTGACAGGTTTTCCCATCTTCACATCATCAGACGTGAGAAGAGATGTGTTTGTGAGGGAAAGGGAGAGTTATTTTCATTAAAGATCACAAGCGCCGCTATACGTAAGCCGTCTGCTATATTGGCATGTCCGGTGCATCTGCACTGCAACTGTAGTTATACACGTGTATGAATATTTATATCTTCAGTAGACTATTAGTCAGTTTTTACACCCAGATGCTGCACAATGTTGTTGCATCTTGAAACTCATTGATTGTTATTGTGAGTGATGACAGAACATTCCAAGATGGCCGACATAATGCAACGTATCTGGAGCGGTCGAATGTGGCATCTACCTGTACATATCTATGGTACAACCAAACAACTCTCTGAGAGCAGAAATTACGGTAATGCAGGACTGTCAGTCATCGGCCGTGGGCGGAGCCTAAACAATGTGACGTCACACTGGTCAGAGAATTAAAACAGCTGGTCTAATGAGACTGATTTGGTTTAATGGGGATTAATAAATAAGGAGTGGGTGGGTTTTATCATTGTAGGGTGGTTGTGCTCACACTCTGCCAACACATATTTATGTCCAAACACCATGTAAAAGTGGATTTTGCATAATAGGTGCCCTTTAATTAGACATTTTACACTTTATGAAATATTAACATTAAATTGAAAGCAGTTGTGAACAGTTCAGTTGTCACAAAAAGAAAAAGAAAAAAAAGAAAAGAAAAAAAAGTTACATACCAGTAATTAGATTAGATTAGGTTCAACTTTGCCATTGTGCAGAGTAAGCACAGAGCCAATGAAATCCAGTTAGCATCTAACCAGAAGTGCAAATGGCACTATATTTATGAATATAAATATGCATATATATGTGTGTGTATATATAATTTTTTATGGAGAGCAAAGTTGCAGTGTTTTGGGACTGGTACAATTGTGACTGTTTTGAAGTAGGTGAGGACCAAGTAGAGCTTGAAAATGTGTGTGAAGACATCAGCCAGCTGTTCTGTGCAGACCCTGAGCACTCGGTCAGGAAGACCATCAGGGCCAGACACTTTATGTGCATTCACCTGCTCAGGTAGAAGCACACCTCACTGGTTAAACAAGAGAGCGGCAGGTCGTCGTGTGGGGCTCAGCTTCGATGTGCTTCTGTGTTTATACGATCAAAGCAAGCATTAAAGGGGTTCAGTTCATCTGTGAGGGAGGTATTACTGGTTGGTGGTCAATGTTTTTAAATGAGTCTTCAATCCTTTCAATGTGCATTACATCACAAAACATTTAAAGATGATCAAACATGGTTTGTAACAAAAAGCTCTAGTTCAAGTTTTAACAGTTGAATATTTAAATATACAAATAATTTTAAGAAAGACAAAAGTCAAAAGTAAAATTCTTTAAAAGAAACTCACTGAATATTTTTTCATGAGAAATGTCCACAATAACACAATCATAAATGTTAACTATCGAGGCACCAAACTACTGAATACCAGCACATCTAGTGACACAAAATGTCTGATTAAGCTGTAACTTTTAACACAACTAAACTGTGCTGACATTTATCATCAGAACAACAGCAGCTGCAGCATCTGATCTTTCATGTTTGATCATTTTTGATGCATCAAATTGTGTACCTTACTGAATTAGGGAAATAATATAATAATATATAATATAATAATTAATATGCATATCATTTATTTAGCATTACTTCATCACGTCTCACCTCAGAGTCTTGAGTTGAGAGTTTGGATCCTGTAGTAAATCACTGAGCTGCTTCACTCCTGATGGTCCAGGATCATTTCCTGTGAGATCCAGCTCTATCAGGTGTGAAGGGTTTGATCTCAGAGCTGAAGACAGAGCTTTATAACCTTCTTCAGTGATACTGCAGTCTGAAAGTCTACAAAAAATAAAAACATGAATTGAAAGTAACAATTTGGTTCAAATTCATCCATTCATCAACTGCACAATCATATTATAAAATCAAGATCAATTATTCACTTAGTTATTTTAGTAGCATGAAAAAAAACTTTTTTTTTGTCATCAGTGACTAGTGAGAGTTATGTTCTCTTGCAAAAACCATTATAATCAATGAAGCTCTCTAGACTGCAAAAAGAATCTTGTTTGCATCGTATCAGCACTTTTTTTTGTTTCTTTGGTTTGATGAGTCAGTGAGTGTGTGTCAAGCACTGAACAAAACTCTGGTATTTCCAGTGCTGCCTAATCTAAACACTTCTGGATTCGCCACTACATTCATATGCTCAACAGAAATGTGTGTTATTGGTTAAAATACTGCATGCTTTTTAAGCAACATGCATAAATATAAAATCTGATGTAACATCAGCATGCCTGTTAGATCCTGTACCCACTAAATTACTGAAAGAGTTGTTACCAGTAGCAGAAGAACCGCTTCTCAATATTATTAACTCGTCGTTGTCTTTAGGTCACGTCCCAAAAACATTCAAGCTGGCGGTTATTAAGCCTCTTATTAAGAAACCACAACTAGATCCTAGTGAACTTGCAAATTACAGACCCATCTCAAATCTTCCTTTTATGTCTAAAATTTTAGAAAAAGTTGTGTCTGCTCAATTGTGCTCCTTCCTGCAAAAAAATTATCTTTATGAAGAATTTCAGTCAGGTTTCAGGCCCCACCATAGCACAGAAACTGCACTTGTTAAAATTACAAATGACTTGCTTCTTGCGTCAGACCAAGGCTGTATCTCATTGCTAGTTTTACTTGATCTTAGTGCTGCGTTCGACACTATAGATCAGTGTTTCCCAACCGGGGTGCCGTCTGTCGAGAGCAGGGGTGCCGTGTAAAAAATCCTTTTTTAATATTTTTAAATTGCTAAAATTTCTGATGTTGCCAATAATTAGAGACGCACCGAAATTTCGGCTGCCGAAAATTAGTTCACCGCTCAGGTTTTACTTTCACGTGGTGTGATGCTCTGCGTATTATCCCGCTCTGTGCGTGTGCGCTCCGCTCAGTCGCTCCACTCATATAGCGTTCATGCGAATCGGAACAGCAAAGTCCACTCAAAAATTGAGCAGACAGGAAACATCGATGTACTACAATATTGTTTCTGTCTGCAATAGCCCTACTGTGCTGTAACATGGTGTGGTAAATGGGCAACTCTGGTAACTGCCCTCTCATTCATTGATCTGCTAACCGCTGTGTTATGCTCACGTGTTCTGATAATAATAGCTTTCTGGGACTTAACATTATTTGGATAAATGGTAAAAAGTGCTACTGCACCAAAATTACCCCACTGTAAACAAAAAAAAACACTGAGTGAGAAAAAATTTGTGAGATAGCTAGTTATAATGGTAATTAAATAATGTTTACATATGTATAAAAGCCTACATTAAAATATGTCATATAAATTGGTCTCTTCATTAGAAATTAGCCTACTGATTGCCACCATTGATGGACAATTTTTTAATATTAAAAATATCTGTATGACATTATATTCTGCAGTTCTTCCCTGTTGTACCGAATATCTATACTTTTCAAATTATCATATCGAAGTTAGAAATTCAAATATTGTGACAAAATTTATTTTGTAGGGTGCCACAAGTTTCTTAAAATTTCCAAAGGGTGCCGCGACTAAAAAAAGGTTGGTAAACACTGCTATAGATCATGAAATACACATAGATCGATTACAAAACTATACAGGTATTCAAGGGCAGGCTTTAAGATGGTTTATATCCTACCTCTCCGATCGCTACCATTTTGTTCATTTAATTGGGGAGTCATCTCAATTATCACCAGTAAAATATGGAGTGCCACAAGGATCTGTCCTAGGTCTGCTGCTATTTTCGATATACATGTTGCCCCTTGGTAATATTATTAGAAAATACGGGATTAGTTTCCACTGTTATGCTGATGATACTCAACTATATATCTCAACAAGACCAGATGAAACTTCTAAATTATCTAAGCTAACAGAGTGTGTTAAAAATGTAAAAGAATGGATGACCAACAATTTGCTCCTATTAAATTAGGATAAAACAGAGATATTGCTTAGTGGACCAAAAAACAGTACACATAATCTCTTGGATTACAATTTGCAACTAGACGGATGTACGGTTACTTCCTCTACAGTCAAAAATCTGGGTGTTTGTACAAATAAACTTGAATTGAATTGAATTGAATCAGCAGGTCTAAATTAAATATTTTGCCCCCTTACTGTAAATTTGGTATGCTATTT